AACTCTGTTGCTGCCAGAAGCATTGAGGCTGCACTAATTTGTTGTTCCCAAAGCTGGATCCCACTTGGATTCTACTATTTGAACTTTAACTAAAAGTAAAAGTAGGTGTAAGTTAAACTTAAATAGATTTTTACTACTAAAAAAGGCTGATGGGGTATTGTTGTTACCCTGTCGGGCAGCTGGACAACTCGATTTCATAGATATACCTGCTAAAAATCTCAGCCGAACTCGAATCTCAGTGACCTCGACCTTAAGGTCAAGGTGAGAGGTCAAGTTTTCTGAACATTTTGTGAATGCAATAACTGTAGGCGTGTCTACTAGGACACAGGGGTAGCACTGGGGGCTCCCAGTATTTTTAATGTTGATGTTATTGTCCTGAGTGCATGTGATACTGCTTATTTTTGATACGCAGACAAGCTGCACTGATCACAGCAGACACACTCAGACTGATTGTAATGTCATAGAAATCTGTGTTTATAAATTAGATGGCAATTGTTTGCAAAGCTTCACTAATGAAGAGTGATTCCAGTCAGTCCAAGTCAGACGATGATTGTTTGGAGACAGGTTGCTTCCCACCAGGTGTCTTGAGCAATCACCTTGACATCGAAAGTGGTCATCTAGAGGTTGAGGGTATTGCATGCTTAACCTATGAGCGACCAGTTAATCACCCCATCTTCTTGTAATTCAATTAGGTCACTGGGAAGCCGTCAATTTTCACTAATCACACTGGTTAGTGTTCTATTTTTAATCTAGTGTGACTGTGCTTTTTGTGCTTCTGTTTTTGTTTTGTGTCTCCCACCTGCCTCTGTGTTCTGCTTGTTGGTCCTCTCATCACTGTTTTATGACAGCTGATAAAGCGGGACATTTTTATTAGCACGTGTAAATGTCACCTCATTTGGTGTTTGACCTTTGGCAGTTCAGACGAATATTGGGCTCATATCAGCGTATGATAATGCAACACTGATATATCAGTGTTCGTGCTGCGAGAGGATCACTTGTTTAACAGATGAACCTCTGACTATCCCTTGCCTCATTAAACTACTAACATGAGACGTGTCCTTTTTCATTTGTGATGGTTTGAGGTGTTTCTCTCGCCCGGGGTGCGCATTGCATCGCTGACTGCTGTTTACAGCAATGTAATATCATTTGGGAACTCAACCCTGCACTAAGTAGGACATTTCTGGATGATTGATGAGGATCATTTGATGTTTGACAGTTCAAAGGTGGCCAGGACTCGTGAAGGACCACTTATAGAGAGGATGAGTCGAACAAGCGTAAATGCATCTTTGTGCTTTAGCCCTCCTCACTGTGACCTTTGCTGCTTTGAGCGTTGCCGCTTGGTTAGCAAGGTGCACACTGAAGCTCTTCACTAGCAGTTCATGAATACGCTCTGCTTCACGCTGACTTTTCCCTCCTCATCTCCAGTGACCTTCTCAAGCTCCTTACTGCTCGTCTTACACATTTTCATTGACCCACCGGCTCTCCACTAGCAGCTGTCATCCTGCATTTTTCAGCGTGTGTTGACACAGATGAACAGTCACAGCAGATTACTCAGTGGCTCCCTTCTCCTCTCCCTAATTTATTTGCACAAGACAATCTATTTCCCTGGGAAAAAAGGCTCAGTTTGAGAACATTTCTTTCTACTTAGCGTATTATTAGTTATTAGTTCAGTCTAATAACATATAGCATGAAAAGCTGGTGATGGTGACGAGAAAATGTTTACTAATATAACTGCAAGCTCATGTTTTCTGGTGTTCTTGTGTGCACCTTGCTAAATAGATGTTCTTTCTGTTGCAGGCCAATAGAGGCATTTTTTCACTCCTGAAACTTAAATGTGCTTTCTGTTTCGTCCGTAGGTGCTATCGGTGC